TCCTCTTCTATTTTTTTTATAAGAAAGTTGAGGCTAAATCGGATAAATTTCCTCAAAGCATACATTTGCAAATAATAGCGTGAGATGATTTTATATGAAGTAACATGGTGAGAAATTATCTAGCCGGACCCACCTTGGGAGGGAGTGAGGCATTGATTGTTGTAAATGTTGTATCTATTTGCAAACAATACAAACATGACAGTCCTTGACTATAAGCGTCCAACATTGACAGTGAAATCTCATACGACTACAATAACAATAATAACAAATTCAGTGCAATTCCATGCAGTGGGATTCGGAAATGATAGAGTGTACGCAGACCTTACCCCTATCTTGTAAAGATAGAGAGGTTGTTTTCGATAGACCCCTAGCTCATTGATTGTGACATCTCAGACAACAACAACAACAACAACAACAACAATAACTATAACAAACCCGGTGCAATCCCACATAGTGGGAGCTGGGAAGGATAAAGTGTACACAGACCTTACCTTTATCTTGTGAAAGTAGAGAAGTTGTTTCTGATCGACCCCGGCTCATTGAAAGTGACATCTCAGACATACACCTATATATTCTCTTCACCACCCTTCCTTTCTTGAAGTCATTCAGCACATCTGCATATTCTCAAACAAAAGGTGAAGTATTTAAAAAAACAAGCTTTCCTTTGTTTCCACTAGAACTTCCCTTTCATACTTATTTGAAAAGAATGAAATTACCACCCCATTTTTTATTTAAGCAAAATGACTTGCTCCTGAAATTGCTTATATTCATACTATGCAGTTGTTCAAGCAACAAAAATAAACTCTGCTGTAACAATCATCAGTTTGCCACCCCTGCAGTTTCTACCTCCTCAAGTTTCTCACTGAACTATTTATCATTGAAACAATTACAACTTGAAGGGTACCTTAATTTTGACAACTTAGAACATGCAGCCAAAGACTTTGGTAATAGATGCCACTTCCTCCCATTAGCAGTTCTGTACCCAAAATCAGTTTCTGACATCTCTTCCACTATAAAACTTATCTTTGAAATGGGTTCCAAAACTGGCATAACTGTTGCTGCTAGAGGCCATGGCCATTCTTTAGAAGGCCAGTCTCAAGCTTATCAAGGACTAGTGATTAGTATGGAATCACTACAAACACCAGCAATGAAATTCAAGACTGGAGAAGTACCTTATGTTGATGTATCTGCTGGAGAGCTTTGGATAAACATCCTGCATGAAAGTCTTAAACTTGGGATTGCGCCTAAATCTTGGACTGATTATATTCACCTCACAGTTGGTGGCACTTTGTCTAATGCTGGAATCAGTGGACAAGCTTTCCGGCATGGACCCCAGATCAATAACGTCCAACAACTTGAAGTTGTCACTGGTATGTCCATGCACAACCATCTTTGAGGGTGTTTGAGTAAGGTTATACGCCTGGTCAAATTAGCTTATGGGCTCTTTTACTCGTGTATATACGCATCTGGTAAACATAAAAAGTGCTTCTATAAGACAATTCTGCTTAAAGCCATAAGTTGATCACCCATTTATTGGACCATAAATATTGGAAACCTTCACATCCTCCATTTTATTATATTTTGTTGGCATAATATATCGGCACCCCCTAAATTTGACACTTTTTGTTTGGTACAAACCTATACTAGTTTTGGTCTTAATTACCCCTGTCACATAGATATTTTTTGTCCAGGTAATTTTTTTTAATAATAAAATATATATTTTTACTGTTTAAATCATTTTTCAAGCCAAATTTGTGAAGAAAACATGTTTGGGACTTTATTATATTAGGATTTTTTTATTTAGCTAAACACAATTTAGTTTCACCCCAATTTCTTTTTATACATATTTCACCCAAAAAATGAAAAAGAAATATGCAGTTGAAATAAATCGTCATCGCATTTAAAGATGAAATACAAAAATACACAGTTGAAATACACTATTTTAGCTTAAAAACTGTTGTTCACTAAAAATAATGGATTTTTTATAGATTTCTCGAAGAAAAAAAAAATGAAGATTAAAGTTAAACAGTTAGAATAAATATCTTGTATATAAGGAAGAAATAAAATAAAATAAAATACATACTTGAAACACGATTATTTGTTGG